GATTGGGGCAACAACTCATCTGGGATGTCCAGTTGGTTATTATAACGGCAATGAAGGCCAAGGAAACTGTACTATATGTCCGGATGGTTTTATGTGTCCATATATGAATATGACTTCTCCAGAACCATGCATGTCAGGTAAGTATATGGTCAAAATAAAATTTTAGTCAGTATATTTACAAATGTAATTGCATTACAACTGACTATATTATTTGGTCTGAATTTTTATGTACATGGTACCATAGCATTTGTTTTTCTCTATTTAAGATAATGATGTGAATATAAAGATTTTACCATACCACATTGGCAATGGTATTTCACGCTAAACAGCGTGGCTGTTAATAATATGCAGCATAGTCATGTGATAATGTAGCATATTACGAGAATACCAGAGAGTATGTGCAAAGGCAGTACAATGATCATATTGAGGTATGCTTTGTAGATATCCATGCAATCCTGTACTGCCTGACTGCATACTTTGCTGACTGTCATGGTAACTTCATTATTATACATTTTTTTTCTGCCTGTAGTTGTAATTTTTAATAAATTAATGATAACAGCCCAAACTGGCAACAACAAATGTTTTGTTCTGTGCAAAGGTTTTGTGTTCAGTTGCAAGTTTCTTTTTTAGATCACACACTATAGCACTTCTGGAAGGAAAGTCTTTGAATGTGATACACAAATATGAATGTGATTTCCAAATAGGAAAAACATTCAAATGCGTCGATAACACTTTCAAACCTGTCTGTATTGTATTTTATGGGTAGGTAAATTCTATTGTTTTCAGTGTCAGATCTATAATAATAATGATTTCTATTTATAACCTTTCAGGACACTACTGTGTGGAAGGGGAACCTAGTCCTATACCTTGCCCTGCAGGTACCTTTAACAATGTCACCATGTTGAGTACAGAAGACGAGTGTACAGACTGTTCACCTGGTACATACTGTTCTGGTGCTGGTAATAGTTACCCCACTGGTCTTTGCACTGCTGGATATTACTGTGAAGGTGCCGCTAAGAGTCCTATTCCAGTTGCCACAGTTGATTATCCCAACAATGGAATCTGTCCACCTGGATCTTACTGTGATGAAGGAACCCCAGCGCCTAAGAAATGCCCGCCTGGTACAATAAGACCTTCCGATGGTAAGTAATTTTCTTACTACAGAATGTAATGGGATTAACTATTTACTCCAACAATGGAATTACGGATAAATTTGAGTGCTGTATCGACATAGGCTTTCTTCGTACTCAGTTTTGTATTTCAATATTGTTTCCGTATTTACTTCTATACTGGGATCACACCTGAAATATTTTAACACGGAATGATACATCTGTTACGTATTTAGTTAGCTAATGCAATACTGCCCTCAGTCGGTGAGATGTTCGTCAATCCACCACCCCCATCGATAATTATTTTACTACAGCATGTAATATGATTAACTATTTATTTAATGTAAACTCCAACAATGGATTTACATGTCTGATCATTGTGTGTTTTTACGAGGACTACCCATATGTAGATATGTCAGATATGTCCATCTGGTACATATGGTAAACATATACGTGTAGGAGAAACGGGATCTACATTAGAGCACAATAACATAAATAATTTGAAACCAGTACATTGTCCGCCAGAATCATGTAATATTTAACAGAAATTATGGATGTTAATCTGCTGTGTTGACTTTCAAAATAAACTTTAGTTGCAAAGTTTGGTCAAAACATTTCAATCCGCATTTTAATTTCAAATAAAGTTGTATTGAAAGAGTTGTATTTTAAAATGAATAAAATGTAAGTACTGATATTTTGTATTGAAGTCAATAAATAGAAACACTTGTCAAATTCATTGAATATAACTGTTGATTCACTTTCATTCTATTATTCATTTGCATAAAGGAAAAAAAATGAGTTCAATTTATGATTTACATTGTATAATACATGTTTATTATGTTTTCTAGGTGCTACAGGTATTGATGATTGTTCTCCTTGTCCTGGAGGTCATTACTGCTCTGGTTATGGTCAAACCAGTGAAACTGGTCTGTGTTATGCAAGATTCTATTGTCCAGCTAATGACACAACTTCACACCCAGAACCAGGTCATCTTAAATGCCCTGTTGGTCACTACTGTTTGAATGGTACTACTGAGCCATATCCCTGTCCTACCGGGACTTACCAACCAAATGAAGGGTTTGATGAGTGTGAACCATGTCAAGCAGGATTTATTGTCAAAGTGCTTTGGAGCCAGATCCCCAGCCTTGTCCAGCATCATTACTGTCCAGCTGCCACCATGTACCCAATACCATGTCCAAATGGGACATTCACGTATGACAACACCACAAAGCTGAAATCTGCTTACGAGTGCCAGCCGTGTAAAGCAGGTGTTTACTGTCGAGGAGGTTACATTGTTGGTCCATGTCCGCTGGTTATTTCTGTTTGGCAGGTAGTCAAGACTATACACCAGATGATTATTCTCCTCCTGCAAACCCGGATCAAGATCCATGCCCTCCGGATACAGTTTGTGCTGGTCCTTGCCCATCTGGTCATTATTGCCCCGAAGGAATGAAGATCCGATACCATGTCCGAATGAAACACTGAGGAGGAAGTTAGGAGCTAGTCAGTTATCCGAATTGTAAGGCATGTCCTGCAGGCCAGCACTGTTTTGAGGAGATCCAATTTCATATGATTGTCCAGTTGGTTATTATTGTGAGAATGGAACAGCACCAATTAAATGCCCGCTGTATACTTTCCGTGATACCCCCGGTGCCACCAGTGAGGGAGATTGCACTCCTTGTCGCCCTGGGTTTTGGTGTAATGACACTGGCATTGTGAATTATCGACAAAATCCATGCCCAGTTGGTCACTACTGTGAGCGAGCTATGGTATATCCAGAACCCTGCACTGGTGGTAGGATGAGTACAACAACTGGAAGAGTCAGCAATGAAGATTGTCCACTTTGCACCCCTGGATATTACTGTCCCAATGATACCATCAACGTTCATGGCATTCCATGCAGACCTACCTATGAATGCCCAGAAGGAGCCTCAATTGAAGTTGTGTGTCGACCTGGACATTATTGTGAAGGGGTAACTGGTGATCCACCGATTTGCCCAGGTGGTTATTATTGTCCGTTAGGATCCAGTTTCTATACTCGCTGCTTCTTTCCTAAATATTGTCCGGAAGGTAGCGAGGTTCCAGTTGAGTGTCCTCTTGGATACATGGCTGTCAACCATGCTAATATCAGACCAGATATTGATGGTTCATGTCAGATATGTCCAGCAGGTACTTATGGTAATCATACTGAACGGTATGAGTGTCGCATTTGCCCAGCTGGTTACTACTGCCCAGAAGGAACCGGAGATCCTAGAGACAACCCCTGCCCCATTGGATACTATTGCCCGGCTGGTTCTGGTTCCCCTACTCCATGTCCCATGGGAATGTATGGAAACATAGAGAAAGCCCAACGATATGATCAGTGTTATGATTGCCCTGAAGATACATATAATGACATGCTTGGGCAGCAAGCCTGTCGACCGTGTGGAAGCTCTGCATATGCTCCTCCTGGCAGTCCTATGTATCTGTGAGGGTGCGAACCGAGCATTCCAGACATCTAATGGAGCTTGTGTATGTTGGAGTGGTTATATATATTACAATCAGATTGACGATAAAGAAACTTCCGGAAACGACGCAAGTGATTGTCAGCCACAAGTAGATATGCGTTGTGATATTACTCAGCTGCGACTTGCTAGTTCCAGACAGTGTGTGGATCCCAATAGCTATGACTGTACACCTGCATGTGGTGTTGACGGGGGAACACTTAATATTAATCTTGCCAGGTCAGTATACCATGCCATATTATTTTATGTTTTATATTTTATTTGAGGCAAAGTTTTCCTTATGAAATTTAACAATCTGGGAAGGGATCTTTTTGTTTATAACATTTCTCAGTGCTAAATTGGCTTAACCTTTTCACAACCAGTTTTCTCTTTTCATCACAAATTCACAAAATAATCCTATTTATAATCTGCACTTTCCTTCGAAGATCATGACAAAAATAGCCACATTTTTGAGCAAAATTAACTTTCATATGTCTGTTGGCTCCAAAATTGGAGTTCATTTCCAGAATATGAGGAAAAAGTCAGAAAAATGTGGGCGGTAAAGTCTGGTAGGGAAAAGGTTATGTCTGTATTTACGGTAATTCAAAGTTGAACTAAAACAACATACATAAAAAGCTTCACTGGGGTCTTAGGACAATTATTGATAGTATGCATATGCACAAATTGAGGGAGATGTTTTCCAGTTTGGTCAGTGTTAAATTGATCCATGATAATTCAGGACAAATCCTTGTGAATCTATGCACATTGAAACACTGTTTAAAAATGTAAATGAAATTCATACATCTAATAAGCCATAACGTAACAACTACCAACGTTCATATGCACTGAAATCGTTCAGTTCAGTTCAGATTTCCTGCAATCCAAACAAATTCTGACCATTTTTTATATTTTTACATCAATATGCTTTTGTCAATGTTTGTATTTTTCTAGGTGTCAGTGTACTTCCTATGTTACACCACAAGAACTATGTGACACAGTCTGTGAAGCCACATCACCTACTATTGGTGGCACACTGAATGCCGCAGCACAGCTACAGATAGTTACTACAGATCCTTTGACAGGCGATAGCACTACTGAGGTATTTACTACTTTTTGATATTCTATGTTGTGTTATCACGTTGATAATGGTGGATTATGATGTTTATGATTAGGTTGTACAACCTGTGCTGTGTTTTTAATATTTGGTGACATGGCTGTCAAAACTTTGAGGTTTGCTAATTTGGTGTTATCAAGGTATGCATAGTATGGCGGGTTTTATGCTGTAAAAATGGCACCACTGTACCTACATTTTGTAAATGTAAGTTCGGCCTGCAACTTGATGCAAGTACATTTACTAGTGCAACAATGGGCTTCAGAGGCAATTCGTAACATCACTGTCATTCGGAGCGTGATGAACGGATATAGTTGTTGCCAATGTTTGAAACTTAATGAATTAAATCATGATGTAAATTTTCATGAAATTTATGCTCGCTAATAACGTTTCGCCAGTAAAAACAAACAAACAATAGAATAATTTTTATTTTGTAATATTTCTATACGAGAACAAGTTCCTTGTAAGACACTATTTATCGTTTTCTAGTTTACCATTGTATGCGGTGATGTGCAGTGTGAAGATAACATATGAGAAGCGAAAACACATGATTTGCGAGCATTTGAAAATGATTTTGTTCTGTGCACTTCAATTGAATATAGCTCTAACCAATAGATACTTGCATAAACAGAAATGAGCATATCACATGACTTTTTCAATTTGCATGTTATTTAATAACATATCACATATTTGCATACCATAATCATATTCTTTAATAGCTATATAGCTGGAATTACATTTTAATACAAAGTTGATTACATTTATTCAATGCCAATGTCTTCTATATCAACATTTTCTCATGATGCAGTGCAGACAGCCAAGTCATACTGGTAATGGTAAAGATGTTATCCTTGTAATAACCTTATTATTATACATCTTTTACACCCAAGGATACATGGGAATACCAAAATCCAAAAAACTTAGAACAGATTTAGCGAACTTCTTAGTGTGCAGTCCGGTCAGACCTTGGGGGCTGCCATGTTTGTTTTTATCATTAGAGGGCACTTATATGCATAATTGTTCCATATTTGGAATTTGCATTTCCTAATATGGTAGGATGAAAATACCCA